AAAGTAAAGTCAAACTCAAAACTAATTCATAAAGGGAAAATATAAACCCTAGAGTTGTTTAATCAACGAAAAAGCATATTACATGAATATATGATGTAGAAATTTCCAATTCCAATCGAGTTCTTTCGTAGCTTCACCAAGATCTTTAATTCCTCATGTGTTTCTTGAGCCAAAGAGGAGAAAATGGTGTATGGGGCCTTCCCCATATGTATTCTGCTGTTAAGTATTTGTAAGAGACGAAAATTGGATGAAAATCACGTCCAAATTGGTTTCCAAAAGAGTTTTAATCGAATAAGGAAAGTTGCTTTCGCGCGCGGATTTTTTTGTCACTACACAGCAGTCAGTAATTTGGTTATACCTTTCTCTTCCGATATCCAATTTAGATGATTCTAAATGTTTTAGAAAGATAACTTGAAGAGATACAACTTTATTAGAAATAGATCTTTTCAAATTCGGACTTTCACTATGCCAAAAATGGGTCTCAATTTTCTGCAAAAATCTGGAATATATCTTGTGTGAATTGGAAATTGATTTTGATAATATTTCATTTCTTTTTGAATTTTAATTACTTCCAATCGACCCTTAGCACTCTTGAACCTTCATCGTGAGCCCCGATGTAATTTTTGAGTATTTGCACTTTAGTTCTGAACTTCACTTTCTTCCATTGTGGTCATTTTTCACATGTTTCTCCTTATTTTCGCTACATTCATCACTTGTCTTGCAAAACATAAATTGTATAGAATTAAGCTATATTCCAACATATTAATCAACAATTGCTCATGTTTTGACAGTAAAATAAGTATGTAAAAACGTACTTATCAGAGTTCAACATAAACATGGGTCAAAAACATAGTAAAATTCTTAGGGGCAATGATTTAATCATACCCCTAAGAGATATGGTCTTTATTTCTTAAAAGCAAAACATTTGCTTGGTTTAACTGCTTCTGCTGTTTCTGATAATTTCACTCTTACTAAACTTTAGCATCATAGACTTGGTCATATTGGGAAAAAAGCCCTAAATTCTCTACAAACAAAAGGAGTTTTTGGAAAACAAAATTTTGGTGATTTTGACTCTTGTGAACAATGTATTATGGGTAAACTAGTCAAATTACCTTTTCCTTCTGGCATTCATAAATCAAAATAGATTCTTGAATACTTACATGTTGATTTGTGGGGTCTTGATACTGTTTGTACTCTTTCTAGTTTTAA